AAATGAAACAATCTCATACCCAGGTGAGGACAGGAATATCTGGCCTCAGGGGACCGGTGGACCCCAGCATCTAGGGTCATTAGGCCCCTCTGCCCTCTCCAGCCTCTGTCGGGGAAGAGGCAGTGCTTCCTTGTTCCATACCCACTGTGTCTCTGCCCAGGTCTTGGGCTGTGGGGCACCCGCTGTGTGCAGCCCCCACCTGCCTGCCACTCTCACAGGCCTCTCCTCTCCAGAAGCCCCTCCCCTAGGCAAGAGGGAGGAGGCCAGAGTCCCCAGGCCTGGCTCTCAGCCTGACTCTGCCCAGGACTGCTGCAGAGTCTTGAGCAAGTTCTATTTTCTCTCTGAGAAAATAGATCTCTCTGTGATCTTGGTTTCTGTGAATTGGGAGCTGGGGCAGGTGAGGGGATCTCTTAGGGCTCTTTCCAGAATACCACGGAAGGGAAAAATCCTAATAGCTCAAAGAAGTTTGCTAAGGGTCAGGAAGCAGGGAAGTACATGGGGGTCTCCTACCCCTGGAGCGGGAAGGGCCTAAGCAGAGGCCAGCTCTTCCAGACCATGGGGGAAGGGCTGGGGGGAGGACCACCAGGACTGGCCACAGCCTCCATGCAGGAATGTCCTGGTGTGGCCTGGCCTGGCTCTCACAGGCCTAAGACTTCGTGTAGAACAAGTCTGTGGTTATTAAACAGAAAGGCCTGGTGGAAACAGCCCTGCCACCTGCGTATTCTCTGAGCCTGTTTCTTCCGCTGGAAAGTGGGTTAACCGCAGTACCCAACTCATAGGCCACCTTAAGGGTTCAATGAGGTGTGTTCGCAAAGTGCCTGGCACAGAGCAAGCTGCTCTGTTTCTCATCCTTGTTATTGAGATGGTTATTGTTCTTGGGGCCCAAGAAGGGAAGCCAGCCCTGAAGCAAAGCCTGCTGGAGTGAGCCTGTGCCCAGAGACATGGCAGGCCCATCCAGGCCAGGAGTGGGGCCGAAGCGCCTTCTCACTTCTGGGTATTTGGTTCAGGTTGCCGGCCTGGGTCAGTGAGAAGGGCTGGGGACAGGATGTTTCCTTCCCTGATACCACCCCCAACCCCCTGGGTGGCCTTGGGCTAGAGATGCTCCTTGGAGCCCTCAGAAGTCAAGTTCATCAGGCCTCCCACCTGACCACCCTGCCCCCACTCCGTGCTTTTCCATCCTGTTGCCTGTGGGGCGGGGTCAGCGACTTAGGCGGGCCATGGGTGGGGCTTGGTTAGAGGCTCAGGAAGCGGGTGGAGGTGGGCACCGGGGGCAGGAAGCCTCAAACCCACCCTTTCGGGCCACCCGCTCCCAGCCTGGTGGGCAGCGCCTTTACAGCCTGGAGGCTGGTCCCTGGGGGACTGCTGACCTTCGTTTTAATTGGAAACAAAGTTTTATTAACTTCCCATATAAGCACAATGCAAACAACCTAGAAGTTTATAAAGGGAAAAGTGAAAGTGGCACCCAACCTGCCCGCCCCACCTTCACTTTAATAGGGAATCAGCTGCGGGTAGGCCTTGGATTCTTCGACACTGTGTGTGTGCATTTATAAATACTATGCATGGATAGTTATGGCTTTTAAAAAGCAAGCAAAAAACTTATGCTATGGCCGGGCATGGTGGCTCAAGCCTGTAATCCCAGCACTTTGGGAGGCCGAGGTGGGTGGATCACAAGGTCAAGAGATCGAGACCATCCTGGTCAACATGGTGAAACCCTGTCTCTACTAAAAATACAAAAAATTAGCTGGACATGGTGGCGCGTGCCTGTAATCGCAGCTACTCAGGAGGCTGAGGCAGGAGAATTGCCTGAACCCAGGAGGCGGAGGTTGCGGTGAGCCGAGATCGCGCCATTGCACTCCAGCCTGGGTAACAAGAGCGAAACTCCGTCTCAAAAAAAAAAAAAAAAAAAAACTTATGCTATATGTTGCAGTTTGTTTTTAGAAATTAAAAAATACATTTTTAAATATTTAAAAATATTGTGTGGGCTTGGTGTGGTGGCTCACGCCTATAATCCCAGCACTTGGGGAGGCCAAGGGGGTGGATCATTTGAGGTCAGCAGTTTGAGGCCAGCCTGACCAACATGGTGAAACCCCATCTCTAGTAAAAACGCAAAATTAGCCGGACGTAGTGGCACACACCCCCAGCTACTCAGGAGGCTGAGGCAGGAGAATCCCTTGAACCTGGGAGGCAGAGGTTGCAGTGAGCTGAGATGGCACCATTGCACTCCAGGCTGGGCCACAAGAGCAAAACTCCGTCTCAAAAAAAAAAAAAAAAAAAAAAAAAAAAAAAAAATTACATGACCATTATCTTAAAATTTTTGGAAATTTACAGTCAAAGTAAAAGAAAAAAAAGCAGCTCAGATCTCATCATTCCAGAAATAACCACTATTAACACTAATCACTGGCCAGGCCCAGTTGCTCACGCTCATAATCCCAGCACTTTGGGAGACTGAGGCAGGCGGATCACCTGAGGTCAAGAGTTTGAGACCAGCCTGGCCAACATGGTGAAACCCCGTCTCTACCAAAAATACAAAAAAATTAGCCGGGTGTGGTGGCACACGCCTGTAGTCCCAGCTACTCAGGAGGCTGAGGCAGAAAAATCACTTGAACCTGTGTGGTGGAGGTTGCAATGAGCTGAGATCACACTGCACTCCAGCCTAGGCAACAGAGCAAGACTCCATATCAATAAAACAAAACAAAAAACACAAACACTAATCCCTGTGGTAGGCAAGACATTTCCTTACTTTGTTTTATTTCTTTTTTGCATCTTTTAAAATATTATGATATGGTGTCATATTTGAAAGTTATAGGCTGGGCACAGTGGCTCACACCTATAATCCCAGCACTTTGAGAGGCTGAGGTGGGCAGATCACCTGAGGTTGGGAGTTCGAGACCAGCCTGACCAACATGGAGAAAATATACAAAATTAGCCGGGCGCGGTGGTGCATGTCTAGTCCCAGGTACTGAGGAGACAGGAGAATCTCTTGAACCCGGGAGGCAGAAGATTTGGGTGAATCAAGATCATGCCATTGCACTGCAGCCTGGGCAACAAGAGTGAAACTCCATCTAATTAAAAAGAAAGAAGAAAGAAAGAAAGAAAGAAAGAGAGAGAGAGAGAGAGAGAGAGAGAGAAGGAAGGAAGGAAGGAAGGAAGGAAGGAAGGAAGGAAGGAAAGAAAGAGAAAGAAAGAAAATAAAGTTATAAAGCATAAAAATACTATGAACCTCTTGAACTCAGTCCCCACTTAAAGACCAGTTACTATAACTTGCATACCACTGCAATTCCTCCCCCATTCTTCTTGACTTTTGCTTTTATTTATTTAATTTTTTTGAGACAGAGTCTGGCTCTGTCGCCCAGGCTGGAGTGCAGTGGCAGGATCTTGGCTCACTGCAACCTCTGCTTCCCGCCTCCCGGGTTCAAGGGATTCTCCTGCCTCGGCCTTCCAAGTAGTTGGGATTACAGGCACGTGCCACCACACCTGGCTAATTTATTTGTATTTTTAGTAGAGACGGAGTTTCACCATGTTGGCCAGGCTGGTCTTGAATTCCTGATCTCAAGTGATCTGCCCACCTCCCCTTCCAAAGTGCTGGGATTACAGGCATGAGCCACTGCACCCAGCTGACTTTTACTTTTAAAACTATAATCACTAAAAGAGACAAAAGCTGTCTCCTGTCCCTGGCTGTGAGGTGGGCTACTGCCTACTGTATGCTTGAACATACAGTATTGTATGTGTAGTTTTTACTCATCTTCCCAGATGTGTCTTTTTCACTCCTTGTGTCTCTTAAGATTCATCAGTGTAATTGTAGCTCGTTCATTTTACCCTGCTATGTATTATTTCACAGTGAGGACCTTCCATGGCGTAAAACAATTCCATTCTCCTGTTGATGGACATGTGGACTTTTCCCTGATATTTGTATTATTTCAAGCAATGCTGCTACGAACCTCCTTGGGCACATCTGCAAGAATTTCTCTAGGGCATGTTTACTCAGCCGTGGAATGCAAATGTTTACAACTTTGTTTCCAAGGCAGTTTTTTTTTTTTTTTTTAAGACTTTGTTTCACTTTTGTTGCCCTGGCTGGAGTGTAATGGACTGATCTCTGCTCACTGCAATCTCCGCCTCAAGCAATTCTGCCTAAGCCTCCGGAGTAGCTGGGATTACAGGCCCTGAGACCACACCCAGCTAATTTATGTATTTTAGTAGAGACGGGTGGTTGATTCACCATGTGGGCCAAGCTGGTCTCGAACTCTTGACCTCAGGTGATCCACACGTCTCAGCCTCCCAAAGTTCTGGGATTACAGGCCTGAGGCACCGCGCATGGCTGGCAGTTCTTTAACTTTCTTTTTTTATTATCCTGAGAGCTGATATGATTTGCTTTTTTCACATAAATATCCTGGTCATCCTTTCCTACCAAGGCATAGGGGCCTGAATCCTTTATTTTAACAGCCTCCTCGTGCACTTCGGCAGGCGGTGCCTTAACTTAGGCAGTCCCCTCGCAATGGCTACTTAGGTTATTTTCCCTTATGACAGAGTGATGTCATGAATGCCCTGTTCCAAGAAGGAACATGTGAAATTTTCCCAGCTCTGTGAAGTTGATGTTCTCCTTATTTTCCAGAGGCAAGGAGAAGGGAAGTTATGCGCCAAGGCAGCACAGCGGGCGGATGGCAGGGCTGGACTTGAATCTCAGGGTGAACCCTGAGTTCGCCCAGGGTGACTGCAGGGTGCAAGGTTCAGGGCAGGGAGCTGGAGGCCCTCGGTGGGGAGCCCAGGGAGAAACTCAACGGAGTCCAAGCACAGCGTGCCCCGGAACTCAGTTTCCCCATCCGGGGTCGTGGTGGCAATAAAGCAAGCTAGAAGTGGGCCCGATCCACACTACAGGGAGCCGAAAGGCTGTTGTATTTTGGTGGTCAACCCGGGCTGCCCAGTGGCGTGACCGAGGTGCTCTCGCGGAGGCGGGAACCGGCTCCGCCTCCCATTTCCCTTCCCCGTCCGCGCTTTCCGGGGGCGGGGCCACCCGAGGCCCCGAGGCTCCGCCCACCTCCCAGGCCGGGGTCGGCCCGAGCGGCGGCGCTAGGACCCGGCGGGCCGCGGGTGCGGCGGGGCCTGGGCGGCCTGAAGAGCGCGGACCCCAGCGCTCGGCTCCCGGCACCATGTGAGGGGACTCGGGGGCCGCGGGGGGCCGGGCGCTCCCCGCCGGAGGTGAGCGGGCCCTGCGCGGGGGCGGGGGCGGTGGACGCCGGGGAAGGGAGATTGCGAATCGCGGGGGATAGAGATGGATGCGGGGCCCCCGGGGGCTCTCCTAGACCCCTCTTCCCTCGGTAGCCGCGCCCCGAGGTCCCGGTCCTCGCGCCCAGGGGCTGTCGCGGGGTCCGCTGGGCCTCCTGCCACCGACTACCCGGTCAGCGGTCCTGCCTCTTTTCTTCCCAGCTGGGGTTAGGGCTCCGGACCCCCGGAGTACAGGAGCTGGGGAGGGGGTTGGCGCCAGGGGCGCGCAGGGTGAGCCCCCCACCAGGTGGACCCAAGGGCTTGGCGTCCCGCCTCGTCTCGGAATTAGGAGCCCCCTCCCCCTTCTCCCTGGAGCCCTCCTCCCACGCGGGCTTGTGGGTGCCTCCCGACCTGCGGGAGGACTCCCGGGGCTGGAAGAAGGAAAGCCCCCAAACAGAGGGCAGGGTGTGGCCCCCACCCTCGGCTCCTGCTCAGCTCGCCTGCGCGTCCAGCCTTGAGGGCTGAGTCCATGCTCCGGGACCAGCGCGCGGGTCTGCCTCCTCCCCAGCCTGAGCAAGCCGCTCCCCAACAGGCCAGCACCCCCAGACCCCCGTCCCGGTGCCGGTGTCAGGCCACGTCCTGGGCGCACACCCGTTCCAGCCGAGGGGGCTTCTCCAGGGAGACGAAGTCAGGCTCAGCTCTGGGCTGCTCCCTGTAAGGAGCCTGTAAACAAGGCTGCCAAGCTGGCTCTGGGTGGCCCCCGCAAGGCGCTTTGCTACTCTGAACCTCAGTCTCCTTATCTGTGAAATGGGCAACAAGAACGCCTACCATGCATTGCCGGGATTCAGTATGTGGGTGGTGCTTAGAGTTTATTCCCACACGTATTCCTTGATATTCCGGGAAGTCGCTGGTCTGGGGTCAGGGGAGTAGGAGTGTTTTACTGACACCCTGGAGAGGCAGGCCTTGAACAGTGAGTAACCACAAGACTAACAGCTGCTGGCATTGTGGGAGCACTCTTTTTTTTTTTTTTTTTTTTTTTTTGATGTGGAGTCTCGTTCTGTCGCCAGGCTGCAGTGTAATGGCACGTTCTTGGCTCACTGCAGCCTCCACCTTCCGGGTTCAAGCGATTGATTCTCCTGCCTCAGCCTCCTGAGTAGCTGGGACTACAGGCGGGTGCCACCACGCCCAGCTAAGTTTTGTATTTTTAGAGAGATGGGGTTTCACCATGTTGGCCAGGATGGTCTCGATCTCTTGACCTCGTGATCCACCCGCCTTGGCCTCCCAAAGTGCTGGGATTACAGGCGTGAGACTGTGCCCGACCAATGTGGGATTACTTTCAAGCCCCGCGTGCCCCTTGCCACATCTGCTTGAATCCTTCCAACAATCCCCTGAGTTACCGACTCTTATTGTTCCCATTTCACAGATGAGGAAACTGAGGCTCAGAGAGGTCACATGGCTTGCTCGAGGCCCCCCAGCCAGTAAGTGGTGAAACCGGGATTCGCAGTGGCACCTGACATGCTGCACTGACATGGCCTTCTCAGAGCAGGATTGTGACGGGTCGGACCAGGGGGACGGTGGTCCTGGCTGAGGGCACAGCTCGGGCAAAGGTGGGAAAGTGGGGGGTAGGCATGGGGCATCCTCAGGAAAGGGTAGCCACGCGTTTTAAGATAGAGGTGGCTGGAACCGTGGTTGCCTTGAATGTCGAGGTCTCAGGGTTCATGGGGGCCACCCCAGGATTCTGGACTCCTGTTTTTTGCTCTAACAGCCCGTAAGGGCAAGAACAAGCCGCTCCTCGCTTCTTATGAGGCCCCTTCTGCTGTATACCGTGAGGCCTGGACTAGATGGGAGTCCGGGCCTCCCTGACAGGCTGTGAGGGGCCGGCCCTGAGAAACTTGAAGCCGGGCTCGGGATGAGGGGGGCTTCCATGGGGAGGGGGTGGGGCTGGAGAGGGGGTGGGGCCAGGACCTAACCAACCAGGAGCTAGGTGTGTGTGCCAAGCCTCCTCTGGCCCGAGATTCTCTGGCTATTACTGGTGGCCCTGTAGGAGTAAACAGCGGCTAGGTCAGGGGGTGGAGAGAGTGGCAGGAACTGAGTGGGCCCTGGAGGAGGGGACGGAGCTGAGGAGGGCCCCTAAGCCCCAGTTTCCTCCCTCTGCACTCCCACCTGCCCTGCCCACCTGCCTGTCTGCTGGAGGTGGGCTGGACACAGTACTTTTTCCCTTTCACAGTTGGGGAAGTGGAAGTCTGGAAAGGAGCTGGGTCCTGGGTGGTGGGAGAGGGAGCGGTGGGGTGTGCGGAGCAGAGCTGGGCCGGCCTCCTCTCTGCCAGGTCTCCAGAGGCCCCCCAGCCACCTCCGAGACTGTGATTACAGCCATTTGACAGATGTGGAGTCAGCCCTAGCAGAGAATGCAGGGCCTGGATTAGAACCAAGCCTCTGAGACTTGAGTCTGTGCCCTTAGAGAGAGCCTACTTGTTAATGCATTCGTTCCCTCAGCAATATTCCTGCATCTCCATGGCTATGGAGGCACAGGGGAAACTGAGTGAGAACCTGGGTGGGCTGTACCCTGCAGGCAGCTCTTAGCCTGGGGGGATGGAAGGACCTAAGGGAGTTCCTGGTCCATGAGAGGCTTGGAGGATGAGTGGGAGTCAGGAGGCCGTACGAGGGAGGGCGTTCCAAGCCAACCTGAGAGGGAGTCACAGCAGAGGAGTTTGGGGGCTACAGGGTGTTGCTTTATTCTGACGCCACAGAGACCCAAGGCAGGGTTTAGAGCAGGGTGTGAATGGGTCTCCTGCTGTGTAGAGGTCAGGTCCTCCAGCAGGAGAGCCAGCGTTGGCCCTGCCAGCTGCCTGGGTGTAGGAAGACCCCTGCTCATGGAGGAGAATGGGCAGAGCTCTGCTGCTACCAGGCTGTGGGACTGTAGTCAGATTCCTGCCCTTTCTGGCCCTTGGTGTCTCCATCTGCAAAATGGGTACAGTCCTCATCCTTAAAGTTCTGGGTGCATAGAAGAGCTAGTTGGGGGCAGAGAAGGTATAGTCTTTGGTTTGCTGGACCCAAAGGAGTACCCCCAGGCCATAATAACCCTTTCTGGTGGCTTGCAGGTGTGAACCCACATCCCTGCTCCCAGGGCCACCTGCAGGACGCCGACACCTACCCCTCAGCAGACGCAGGAGAGAAATGAGTAGCAACAAAGTAAGTCTCCCTTCATTTCTTATCCCGATTGAGCCTCTCACTTCCCTCTACGGAACTGGTTCCTTTGGACCTATCTCAGATCCCAGCCACCACCAGTCTCTCCCTCCCATCAAGAAGCCACCAGTGCTTGGGAGGCCCAGGTTTAAGCCCTGGTTTGGCAACTGATCTGAGTGGCTTAAGGCAAGCTCCTGCCTCTGCCTCGGCCCAGGGTCAGTTCTGCCCTCCCAGGACTGACTGGTCTGTCTGTGGTGGTCAGGGACTAGCTGAGGTGCCTGTGAAGTGCTGTGCAGGAAAGAGGGATGGGCAGGTGGAGGTGAGCAGGAAATGGGGGGAGGGCGCACTGGTCAGAGTCAAAGGTGATGCAGCCTGAACATGACCCTGAGAATGTCAGGATTCCCCATCGTTCTTTCATTCATTCATGTGTTCCTGAGCTCCTACTACATGACTGGCCCAGCACGCCCCTTCCCTAGGATCCACTGCAGCCTTGGTGGAGCCTGAGGTTTGGAAATGGGATGGAGTGGTCATATTAATTTGAGTCTAATCAGGAGAAAGAAACTACACAGTGATTACACAGGAAAAGTTTAATGCAAAAAATTATTGACTGTAATAGGACACTGGAGTAACAAGGGATTGGAATTCTGAGGCATACAGGAATAGCAGATGTTAATCTAAGGAGAAGCCCTGTTCCACAAAGGCTGAGTTCCAGGCCTTGCTGAAAAGGGCCCAGCGATGGCCCACTGGATGGCTCTAGTACGAAACTGGCCTAGGGAGGGGAAGCCACCAGCCTCCAGGTGCTGCAGGTGGTTGAGTGCGCTGTGGGAGCTGGACTTTAGAGAAGCTGTGATCACAGCATGAGCCAGAGGCAATGTACCTGAGTTGCTGGCACTCCTGGCCTCTGGTCAGTGGCTAAGATGCCCTTACTGGAGAGGTTATGTCCACTGAAGGAGCCTCCCTAGCAAGCCCACCAGAACCAAGAAGCAAATGCTTTTCCTCCTGCAGTGTCTGTTCAGCACCTTCTAGTCACAAAGCTTAATATGCATCTAACTGACAAGGGAAAATATTTAAAGGGCCCAGATCCACTTCCATAGAGCAGACAAAAAGGATAAACTTGGAGCTAGAGGCAATACATTGCAAAGTTACTGTTGGCGGAAGACCTGGACCCTCTCACTCAGATGTCCCACCTGTCTCTAGACATCCTCTTAGCAGCAGCTATAGGGAATCCTGATACATTCAGTCCAGTCCAGCAAACCCTCCCTGAGAACCTTCTGTGTTCCAGGCCCTGCCCTGGGATCTGGGATAAAGTAGGGAGCAAGGCTGACCTAGTCCCAGAGCTTACAGTGTAATCGGAGGGATGGCAGTTTGAATGCTGTGTGATCAGTGTTGTGATGAGGGTACCAAGGCAACTGAAGGAGGCCTTCCTGGAGGAAGTAGTGCCTGGACTGGTCTATAACAAAAAGCAGGAGTTAGCCAGGCATGGTAGGTGGCAAGGAGCTGGGGTGCTGAGCCTTCCTGGTAGCTGGGCCCTCACTGGCCTCTCCCCTCTCCAGGAACAGCGGTCAGCAGTGTTCGTGATCCTGTTTGCCCTCATCACCATCCTCATCCTCTACAGCTCCAACAGTGCCAATGAGGTCTTCCATTACGGCTCCCTGCGGGGCCGTAGCCGCCGGCCTGTCAACCTCAAGAAGTGGAGCATCACTGATGGCTATGTCCCCATTCTCGGCAACAAGGTAGTGCAGCCACTTTGGGGAACTCCCTGGGAGCCGGCTGGTGGCAGCTCCTCCCCACTGCTCAGCATCACCACTTCCCCCACTTCTTCTTTCCTAAAAGAAAGGTGGACCCTGAGAGTCAAGTCCCTGCCTCTGGTGATTTCAGCTCCTTGCTTGCTGTGTGACCTTGGATAAGTGGCCTGCCCCTCTCTGGGCCTCAGTTCTCTCCAAGTCTCCACCCTTATTGCTAATATCCTACCATCTTCTGAATCAGAATCCTTTTGGAAATGTGTTATTGTTTTCACTGCTTTCTGTCTCTGCTGGGGAGCCCACACAGGGTTGAGAGCAGAACACTGGGACATTTGACAACACAAAAGTAGTAATACCGGCTTGTGTGTGTGTGCCCTTTATCAAGTGCCTGTGTGTGCCAGGCACTTTGATCACCAGTAATCCCCATACAAGCCCTAGGAGGGCAGCATTATTATCTCCCTTGATGAGACTGAGTAACCAAGGCTCAGAGAGTTGAAGTTACTTGTCTAAGACCACACAGTGAGGGAAGGAAGGAGATGGTATTTTCCTACCCCCTGCTAAGCTGCAGCTGCAAAGAGGCTAAAAATCATTCCTGGGGACTTCCATTTGCCTTGGGTAGCCATGAAATTCAGGTTGTATTTCTGGGGTTCATCCTGTAGTATCTCTTTCTTCTTTCTCACTGACCCTCCTATATTTTCTTCAGGGCCTTTGCAAGGAAAATGTAGAGCCTGGGCTCTGGCCACATCCTCACTAGCAAAGGGCATATTAGCAAGTGTTTGGAGACAGAATCTAACACCTAAGTGAGTCTTTCTTTACCCTAAGAACCTTTGAAAGAGGAATAAAAATGGGACAGCTTGAGTGTGGGTGATGTGGAAAGGAGAGGCAGAGCCTGGCTTGCAGTGCTTCCAGCATCATAGAGGAAGCCAGAAAAACTAGCACTCAGAAAAGTGGGAGCGCCAGTCAAGGTACGTGGGATGTGTTGCTGGATCTTGGAATAAGAGCTCAGGGAAGGCTGACTTGGAGGAGGTGGCATTTGAGCTTAGCCTTAAAGGGTGAATGGGAATTCCATGGGCAAAAAATAGACCCCAGAGAGCATGTGGTTCCAACCCATTCATTTCAGCCATGGAGAAACAGGCCTAGAGTGGCTTTCATACCTTCCTTAATAACAAGATGATTCTTTTTTCTGGGTGATGTGGAAATGTCATGGGTACCTTTGGAAGGTGTCCTCTTTGGAGAGCTGGGGATCTGTGGTCACTTAGACTTGGGTTCAAATCCTGGCACTGTGCTTCTCCACTTATGACCTTCTGTTCTCCCACTTGTTGACTCTGCCTCAACTGAATGGCCTTCTTTTGGTTTTCAATATGCCACTTTTATTTCCACATTGGAGCCTTTGTGCTGGCTGTTTCTTCTGCCTTGAATATGTTTCCCTAGGTGGTTCTTCATCCTTCACATCTCAGCTCAGAGAGCCCTCTCTGTTACAGCCTGACAGCATCTTCTTGCCTGCTGCCCAGAAAAAGCCAATACACTGAGACTGTGGTGTTGCAGCAGAGAAAGATTTTAATAATTGCAGGGCCAGTCAAGTAAGGAGACGAGGGATATTTCTCAAATCTGCCTCCCCTAGAATTTGGAAGCTAGGGTTTTTTAAGAATAGTTTGGCAGGCAGGAAGACTAGAGAATGGTTGGGGATGAAATCATAGGAGTGTTGAAACTGTCTTCACCCACAAGTTAGTTCCTGGGTGGGGGCCATGGGTCACTGGTCTGGTTGGCATCCATTGGTCCACCAGATTGCAAGGTCTGAAAAATATCCCAAACACTCAGGTTTTACAATAATGATGTTAGCTATGTTAAAAACAATAATGATTTTATCTATATTTTAAAAAGCAAACTAAGAAACAATGACTGTCTATAATTCAACTATAGCTACATGTTAGCAGAAAAGCAATCTAAGAGATAATGACTGGTTACAGATTATGCCTACAGCTTGACAGACAGGTGTACAGGGGGTGAGATAATCAATTATTAGTGACCACCTTATATCAAACTGACTGTATGCAGGCAATCATGCATCCAGGAAGAGCAGGACAAAGGAAAAGGAAAATAACTGAAACAAATGATTTTACTATACCTGTATCCTAGCAGAGTCCAGGCCTCTATCTCAGTTGTTACCTTGTGGCCTTTTATTAATTTTACAAAGGCAGTTTTAGTCCCCAAGCAATGTGTAGTTTCATTTTGGGAAGGGCCTATTACCATCTTTGCTCCAGAGTTAAACTGTAAAGTAAATTCCTCTTGTAGTTAGCTTGGCCTATGCACAGGAATGAGCAAGGGTGGTTAGACTGTGAAGTCAGAAACAGGATGGAGTAAGTTATGTTAGATTCCTCTCACTGTTACAATTTTTTGGCAAAAGTGGTTTCAACTCCAGGCCACCTTTCTAAAGTAGTCCCAGCTGCAGTCACTGTTGGGTCACTTGCCCCTATTTCTCCTCCCCTCCCCTTGAATTGCTCCCCCTCCCCCATCCCCTCCCCCTTCCCCCTCCCCTCTCCCTTCCCCCTCCCCTCCCCCTTCCCCTTCCCCTCCCCCTTCCCCTTCCCCTCCCCCTCCCCCTCCCCCTCCCCCTTCCCCTTCCCCTACCCCTTCCCCTCCCCCTTCCCCTCCCCCTTCCCCCCCCCCTTCCCCTCCCCCTTCCCCTCCCCCAGCTTTTTCTTCTTTCCTCTCCTTTTTAAACCTTTCCTTTGCTTTTTCCTCTTTCCTTTCCTTTTTTTCTTTTCTTTGTTTCTTCTTTTCTTTCTTTCGACACAGTCTTGCTCTGTTGTCCAGGCTTGAATGCAGTGGCATGATCTAGGCTCACTGCAACCTCTGCCTCCTGGTTCAAGCAATTCTTGTGCCTCAGCCTCCCAAGTAGCTGTGATTGCATGCACACACCACCACACCAGGCTAATTTTTGTATTTTTTGGTAAAGACAAGGTTTCACCATATTGGCTAGGCTGGTCTTGAACTCCTGAACTCAAGTGATCTGCCTGCTTCAGCCTCCCAAAGCACTGGGATTATAAGTGTGAATCACTGCACCCAGCCATTTGGCCCTATTTCCCTTTTTTTCCTGGCATGTATCATGTGCATTCTGGTCTGTCTCCCCACATGTTTCTTGAAGGCAGAAGCCTGGTCTGTTCTGCTCCTTGCTCTGCCCCATGACTTGGCCATTAGCCAGCTTGCTATCAATGTGTGTTGAATGTTCAGTGAATGGGCCTCGAGTTTCCCTGTATTTAAAATGGGCATAACAATTCCTGGGTCCTGGAAGCCTGGATGTATGGAGCACAGGCCCCAGCACGGAATGGCCATAATAATGTTGACTTTCCTTGTCCCCCAGACGCTGCCCTCTCGGTGCCACCAATGTGTGATTGTCAGCAGCTCCAGCCACCTGCTAGGCACCAAGCTGGGCCCTGAGATTGAGCGGGCTGAGTGTACAATCCGCATGAATGACGCACCCACCACGGGCTACTCAGCCGATGTGGGCAACAAGACCACCTACCGCGTAGTGGCCCATTCCAGTGTGTTCCGCGTGCTGCGGAGGCCCCAGGAGTTCGTCAACAGGACCCCTGAAACCGTGTTCATCTTCTGGGGGCCCCCGAGCAAGATGCAGAAGCCCCAGGGCAGCCTCGTGCGTGTGATCCAGCGGGTGGGCCTGGCGTTCCCCAACGTGGAAGCCTATGCCGTCTCTCCCGGCCGCATGCGCCAATTTGACGACCTCTTCCGGGGTGAGACGGGCAAGGACAGGTACCAGCCTCCTGCCTGCCCCTCTGGCCAGCCCTGTGCTCCCTCTTAGCATGCTCCGTCCTGAGGGCCTGTTGCTCCCAGCATGCACTGCTCTTGAGGGGATGGTCAGGTCCTGCCGTTCTCTGTTTGGGCCTCCTAGGGGAGTTCTCTTCATGTCCAGCTGTTCATATGGATCCTTTCCAACATACTCTGCATGACCTGGTTTGCCCAAGAGAGCTTCCTCCTGCCATATCTTGCTCTGAGGGCACAAGGGCTTCCACCCAGCATGCTCTGCTCTGAGGTTGCACAGTCACTCTCCTAGCATCTTTCTGAGAGAAGCTCCCCATGGTGTACCCAATGTAAAGTCTTGTCTGTTCCCAGCACGTCTGGCCTTAAGCACATAGTCGCTCCTGGTATGCTCTGTTCCAGGGATACATCACTCCCAGCATGCCCTGCTGTGACTCATCTCCCTAGGAAAGCTAAGCCAGTGTTGCCCAATAGAAATCTGTGTGAGCCACATATGTAATTTATTTTCATAGTAATCACTTTTAAAAATCCGTGAATAGCTGCACACGGTGGCTTACACTTGTAGTCCTAGCTACTCAAGAGGCTGAGGCAGGAGGATCACTTGAGCCCAGGAGGTCGAGGCTGCAGTGAGCCATGATGGTGCCACTGCATTCCAGCCTGGGTGACAGAGTGAGACTACATCTTACATCACTTTAAGAAAAAAAGTAGTGAAAGCAGCTTTAATTTTTTTTGACCTAATATGTTCAACATATAGCTCTTATACATATTTTGTTAGATTTCTACCTAAATATTTAAAACTTTTTGAAGCTATTATAAATGGTATTAATATTTTTTTGTTCCCAATTGTTAATTGCTAATATATAGAAATGGCATACAGAAATGGATTTTTGTGGCCAGGTGCAGTAGTTCATGCCTTAATCCCAGCACTTTGGGAGGCCGAGGTGGATGGATCATGAAGTCAGGAGTTCAAGACCAGCCTGGCCAACAGGGTGAAACCCTGTCTCTACTAAAGGTACAAAAAATTAGCTGGGCATGGTGACATGCACATGTAATCCCAGCTATTCAGGAGGCTGAGGCAGGAGAATCGCTTGAACCCGGGAAGCAGAGGTTGCAGTGAGCAGAGATCGCACCATTGCACTCCAGCCTGGGTGACAAGGAGAGACTCGGCCTCAAAAAAAAAAAAGATTTTTGTGTGTTGACCTTGTATCCTGTAACCTTGCTAAACTCACTTATTGGTTCTAGGAAATTTTTTATTTGTTTGTTTTGTTTTTGAGACAGAGTCTTGCTCTGTTGCCCAGGCTGGAGTGCAGTGACACGATCTCGGCTCGTTGCACTTCCGCCTCCCAGGTTCAAGCAGTTCTCCTGCCTCAGCCTCCCAAGTAGCTGGGACCACAGGCATGCACCACCACGCCCGGCTGAATTTTATATTTTTGGTAAAGATGAGGTTTCACCATGTTTGCCAGCCTGGTCTTAAATTCCTGACCTCAGGTGATCTACCCACCTCTGCCTTCCAAAGTGCTGGGATTACAGCATGAGCCAATGTGCCCAGCCTATTCTTGGAGATTTTTGTAGATTCTTTTGGATTTTCCATGCAGATAATCATGTGGCATGCAAATAAAGACAATTTTATTTTTTCCTTTCTGATTTGTATGCCTGTTTCTTCTTTTTGCTTAATTGCACTGGCTAGGATTTTCAGTACAATGTTGAGTTGTGTTGGAAGTGGTGAGAGTGGACTTCCTTGCCTTGATCCTAGTCTTAGGGACAAAGTATTCAGTCTTTCATCATGGTATATGATTTTAGTTACAGGGGTTTTGTAGCTACCCTTTATCAGGTTGAGGAAGTTCTCTTCTCTTACTAGTTTGCTGAGAATTGTTATTGTTACAGGATATTGAATTTTATGAAATGTTTTTCTGCAGCAATTTATATGATCATGTGGTTTTTCTTAAGACTATTAATATGGTGGATTATATTGACTGCTTGTTTTTGTTTTGTTTTGTTTGAGACAGGGATTTGCTCTGAGACCCAGGCTGGAATGCAGTGGCATGATTATGGCTCACCGCAGCCTCCACCTCTCAGGCTCAACTGATCCTCTCATGTCAGCCTCTCTAGTAGCTGGGAGTACAGGCATGCAATACCATGCCTAGCTAATTTTTGTATTTTTAGTAGTGACTGGGTTTTGCTGTGTTGCCCAGGCTAAGATTTTTGATTATTGAATCAGCTCTGTACTTCTGGAATAAAACATAAAGTTTTATTTATTTTTTAATTTAAAAAATTTTTATTTATTTATTTTTTAAGACGGGGTTTCACCATGTTGGCCAGGCTGGTCTTGAACTCCTGACCTTAGGTGATCCACCCGCCTTGGCCTCCAAGGTGCTTGGATTACAGGCATGAGCCACCACGCCTGGCCTATTTATTTATTTTTATTTGGAACACACCCTGTTCCAAACTCATTTGTTTGGAATGTATGTATTTATTTTTTATTTTATTTATTTATTTATTTATTTTTGAGACAAAGTCTTGCTCTGTGGCCCAGGCTGGAGTTTTGTGTTCGTGTTCATGAGAGGTTTTTTTGGTACTGTCTTTGCTTGGTTTTGGTCTCAAGGACATGCTGGTCTCAGAAAATGAATTGGGAAATGTTCCCTCTTCTGTTTTCTGGAAGAGACCGTGTAGAATTGTGCTTATTTCTCTTGAAGTATTTTGTAGAATTTGCCAGTGACAGTATCTGGGCCCAGAGAGTTCTTTTTCAGAAGATTTTAAGCTGTGAACTCAATTTCTTTACTATTTACAGGGTATTCAGGCTATCTATTTCATCTTGAGTAAGTTATGGTCGTTTATGGGTTTTAGGGAATTGGCCCATTCTAAGTTGTCAAATGTCTGTATGTGGTTGTTTGTGGAATTTTCTTATTATCCTTTTAATGTCTATAGGGTCTGTGGTGGTGATTGTCTCTTTTATTCCTGATATTGATGATTTATGTCTTCTTTTTTCTTTGTCAATTTTGCCAGAGGATTTTGTTTTTGTTTTTGAGATAAAGTCTTGCTCTGTCACCCAGGTTGGAGTGCAATGACATGATCACAGATCACTGCAGCCTCAACCTTCTGGACTTAAGCAATCCTCTCACCTCAGCCTCCCAGGTAGCTGAGGCCACAGGCACATGCCACCACACCTGGCTAATTTTTAACTTTTTGTACTCACTATGTTTCCCAGGCTGGTCCTAAAGTCCTGGGATTACAGGCATGAGCTGCTACACCTGGCCTCCATTCTTTTTTCCACACTACCTAAGAAAATGTAGTGTCTATTTACACGTACAGCCCATCTCAATCACACATGGCTGGTGGCCACTGTGGTGTGAGCACAGCTCTTGGTTCTGGCTACTCCTCCAGGCCTTGCTCTGAACTGCAGTCACTCCAGCAGGAACTCATCTGATTAGTCTCCCCTTAGGAGTTTGCTTCTAGCATGAGCACAGCTGTTTTTAGCATACTCTGTGGTCATAGCCACTCAGCCTGCCCAACTGTGACCCGGCTCCTCAGGAGACAGTTCATTCCCAGTATGCCCTGTTCCCGTTCTTCCCCTCAAAGGAGCTCCCTCCACACCCCTTACCTCTGCCCAGAGAGCCCTCTGCCACATGCCATGCTCTCACAGCGAGGCTGGATTTGGGGTAACCGAGGTGGGGATGGGGCCCCAATAGGTGGATGGGAGAAGTTCCAGGGAACTCCGTGTGGGTGATCCTGGGTCACCTGCCCCCATCTCTGCTGGCATGTGCCCTCAACGTGACTCCTCTCCATCCCCAGGGAGAAGTCTCATTCGTGGTTGAGCACAGGCTGGTTTACCATGGTGATCGCGGTGGAGTTGTGTGACCACGTACACGTCTATGGCATGGTCCCTCCCAACTACTGCAGGTGAGCCCTCCTTGCCGGCGCCCTCCCAGGACAACACCCAGGCACTGGCCGCAGGATGGAGCTGGTGGGGGCCTAGAAACCTTGGCTGGAGGTGCCTTTGAGGGATTCTGCTTCATTGTTTTTAAACTGTTCTGCAGGAACGTAGGCTTCTTCTGCTTCCTCAGAGGCCTCCACTCCAAGCTCAGCCAGAGTTTATTATTAATAATAACTATTAGTAGTAGCATTACATGAAAAGCCCACTAGGGGACAGCTACACTTTACTGAATACTGACCAGGTACAAAACATGGCTACATGTATTATCTCACTCTTCACAGCAACCTTAAGGGATAAGAACTGTTATTCTTTCCATTTATTAAATGAGAAAAGCTGAGAAGGATGTTTATGAGTAGCCGGAGGTCCCCAAACAGCAGGAAGAGGGGCCAGGTTCCAATGCCCACAGCCCTCACCACTGCTCTACACTGCCACCCTCTTGGGGAAAGAAAAATGTGCCACTGCATTAAAAAAAAAAAGTTTCGTGGTTACAAACCTAATGTACCCTGCACTTATTTTATGGATGGGGAAACCAAGGCCTCAGGAGGCATGAGGATTTCTCCCATTGAGGTCCTACAGCAGGTGAGGGGCTGACAGGGCAAGGACCCTGCCAGTGCCTACCCTGGCCTGATGACGCCCATCTGCTCTGTCCCAGCCAGCGGCCTCGCCTCCAGCGCATGCCCTACCACTACTACGAGCCCAAGGGGCCGGATGAGTGTGTCACCTACATCCAGAATGAGCACAGCCGCAAGGGCAACCACCACCGCTTCATCACCGAGAAGAGGGTCTTCTCATCGTGGGCCCAGCTGTACGGCATCACCTTCTCCCACCCCTCCTGGACCTAGGCCAACCCAGCCTGTGGGACCTCATGAGGGTCAGAGGAGATGCGGCCTCTGCCCAGCTGCTGGGCCAGAGATCATTTTCTGGCCAATCAAGGCTCACTGGAGTGTCTCCCAGCCAATCGGGGCCTTGAGGAGGATGTATTCAGCCAATCAGGGCCTTGAGGAGGATGTATTCTCCAGCCAATCAGGGCCTGGGGAATCCGTTGGCCAATCAGGGATTTGGGAGTCTATGTGATTAATCAGGGGTGTCTTTCTTGTGCAGTCAGGGTCTGAGCACAGTCAATCAGGGTAGAGGGGTATTTCTGAGTCAATCTGAGGCTAAGGACATGTCCTTTCCCATGAGGCCTTGGTTCAGAGCCCCAGGAATGGACCCCCCCAATCACTCCCCACTCGGCTGGGACAATGGGGTCCTGTCCCAAGGAGCTGAGAACTTGGTGTCACCCCTCAAGTCCTAGCACCAGAAAGTGATTGTGTGGGTGTAGAAGCTGTTTGGAGGCTAGGCCAGAGAATTTGTGAAGTTGTGGAGGTTGTGGGGGCAGTAAGGAGGTCCCAGAAGTGGGAGGCTGGCGTCCAGGTCTTGGCTTTGCTCTGAGTGACCTTGGACAAACCCTTTCCCCTCTCTGGGTATTCTTCTGCCCACGCCAGGTTCCAGTGTGGAGTCTGAAACCCTTTCCACCTCCGCTGCAAGCACCCTTGGGTCTGTCCTTTCCATGTGGGCCCCCACCCCCATTCATTATCCCTTGCTGGGAGGCTCAGCTCTTTGGGGTGTCTGGGGTTACCTTCCCCACCTCCTGGAAAACTGTAGGGTATTTTTGCGCAAACTCCTCCAGGGTCAGGGGACTCTGAAGGGAACAGGACAAACCTTAAGCTGTTTTCTTAGCCCCTCAGCCAGCTGCCATTAGCTTGGTCTTAAAGGGTTAGGTCTCCTTTTCTGCCCTCCAGCAGGGAGGTTTTCCTACTGTTGGAGGTGCCTTTGGGGCTGTCCCTTCATCTGGAGCCACTGGGGGCTTCCAAGGGTTTCCCCTGACCTCCTGTCGTCCTGGGATGGCTGCCATGAGCTGTGTCGCCTGGGTTCTGTCCTCTGGCTCTGTATCAGGCACTTTATTAAAGCTGGGCTTCAGTGGAATGTGTTTGTCTCCTGCTCTTCTGCAGCCTGAAAGGGAAAGGCTTCAGGAGAAGGCCAGCAGCTAGCCATTGCACACTGGGGTGATGGGTGGGGGCGGCGACTGCCCCAGACTTGGTTTTGTAATGATTTGTACAGGAATAAACACACCTATGCTCTGGCTTCATGTGTTGTGTCTCCTGGGTCAAGAGCAGCCCTCTGGGCCAGCGCTGCTTGCAGCCTCAGAACCATGTCCTCCGGTCGGGGGCTCTCAGTAAAGCCATCCTCAGCGTTTTCAGCAGCCAGTGGCCAGTGAATTGTATATTGTGCAGCTTGGGTGGAGACCTGGGGGCTCTAGGGATATGGGGGTGTGGAGCCAGGCCCACTTGGCTTTTCCTATCCCCACCTCACCCTGCCTGTGTGACCTTGGGCAAGTCACTTCACCTCTGAGAGCCCCAATTCCTTCAAGGGCAAAAGGAGACCAGACACTGCCCTCAAGGAGCTCGGGTTCCAGGGAGGGAGGAGCCTAGTGGTGGTGCACTAGAAAGAATTCCCACAGAAGCTGGGGGAAGAGTTGGAGCAGGGAGTTTAGAAGGGGTCGGGAAAAGACATCCCAGGCCACAGAGCTAGAGATCTCCCCGCTCCATAAGGGTCTGGGAACTGGGATTTCCTGCCAAACCCTGCAGGAAGGAGCCTGGCAGGGCTGCAACCCTGGCAGGGCTGTGGTGAGCAGGTGGTCTCCATGTTGCTGCCTGCTTCTGCAAAAGGGCTTTGTATTCCAGGTTGGCAGGAGGCAGGGGGTCTGTGACTCCAGAGATTACAACCTGTTTGGGCAGATAAGATGTCCTCAGGAGCGAGGCCTAACAAAGAGTGACTGTGTGAGACATGGGCAGGCAGCCTGCTGAGATCTCCCAGGGGCCCCGACCTGCTGGGGGCAGGAAAGAGAGCCCTCTGGGCACCAGGCCACCCAGGATGGTGGCGACTGGGGCTGGAAGGCACGAATGGCACCTTGCATATGTCTCTCAATTTGCTTAGCCAATCAGCAGCTGCATGCCATGCACTGTATTAGACACGGTTGATGAGGGTGGGAATGTCAGGTTGGAGGAGTGGCCCACAGAGAAGTCTCATGGTGGGACCCCCAGCTTCACCCAGTAGGCAGTGAGGCTGCAGCAGGAGGGAGCAGTGACAGATGAGACTTCCTGGGGCCAGATAGCACAAGGCCCTAAATGTCAGCCTCAGGGGGACAGGGCCTCCATCCTTGCTTAGAGAAGTCAAATGGGACCACCACAGGATGGGCAGGAGGCTGACAGGGGCATGGCCCAGGGCCCAGGAGCCAACCAGACCACTGGTGGCAGTGGGGCCAGGGTGACTGGAAAGACTGGGACTCCATGCAAAGTCTACATGGGGAGCAGAAAGCTGTGTGTGGGCAGGGCATGGGAATGTGGGAATGTGACACCCATCCAACCCCATGCAAAGGCTTCTGGGAATCTGGGTCCAGGCATGGGTTTCTTCCTCTTTTTTTTTGAGATGGAGTCCAACTCTGTCAACAGGTTGGAGTGCAGTGGTGCCATCTTGGCTCACTGCAATCCCAGGTTCAAGCAGTTCTCCTGCCTCCCCCTCCTGAGTAGCTGGGACTACAGACACGTGCCATCATGCTGGGCTAGTTTTTTGTATTTTAGTAGAGATGGGGTTTCACCATGTTGGTCAGGATGGTCTCGATCTCCTGACCTTCTGACACACCAGCCTTGGCCTGCCAAAGTGCTGGGATTACAGCCATGAATCACCGTGCTGGTGGCTCTTTTTTTGTTTTTCTGACATGGAGTCTCGCTCTGTCACCCAGGCTGGAGGGCAGTGGTGCAAGCTTGGCTCATTGCAACCCCTGCCTCCTGGGTTCAAGTGATTCTCATGCCTCAGCCTCCTGAGTGAGTAGCTGGGACTACAGGCACTTGCCACCATGCCTGGCTAATTTTTGTATTTTTAGTAGAGACGAGGTTTCACATGTTGGCCAGGCTGGTCTCGAACTCCTGGCCTCAAGCGATCTGCCCACCTGGGCCTCCCAAAGTGCTGGGATTAAAGGCATGAGCCACTGCACCCAGCCCAGGCAGAGGTTTTGAGGTAGAATTTCTCCCAGAATGCTGTGGCTCTTCTGTCTGTCCATGGGTGGGCATGAGGGGGAGGTCAGTAGGAGGGGCATCAACAGGGGGTCACTTCCCCAGTGGGAAGTTCAGTGGAGCATCAGGAGGTGGGACTTTTGTGGGCCTAGTCCCCAGCTCCTCAAACTCTTACCCTCTCAAGTGACCCGGTGAAGACTGGCCCACTTATTGCCAAAGTGAGCTTCCTGAAGCCCACCTCATTACGGCCCTCTTTGCCCTGAAACCTTCACTGGCTCCCCATTCACTGGCCAGCATCAAACCTACTGCCTCATCTGGCATTCGAGGCCTTCCTGCGCCTCCATCTGCACCTGCACCCCTATCCCAGGTACCTCAGTGAGGTCGGTGCTTCCTCGCCTTTGTGCAGAGGGCCCTACCCCACCCCTCCTTGGGAGGGGCGCCTCCCACCAGGTGCGAACCTAATGAGTGGCAGAGCTCCTCTCTGGGTTTCCGGTCCAGCTGTTTCCAGCAACCATGTGTTTCCTGCAGATGCTCAGTGGTTTCCACTGAGCTCAGCCCTACCGGCTAGCCCTCCTGGAGCGGCTCCCAATCCCCCTACGTGCTGAAGTCCACATGTGAACTTCAGAATGAGGAGGTCCCGGTACATCCCCTGCAACCTTTCATGCCGGCTTGTTTTCAAGTCTTGGAGTTTTTTATTTCCTTTTCTTCCTTTTCTTTTTTTTTTTTTTTAGACAGAGTCTTGCTCTGTCACCCAGGCTGGAGTGCAGTGGCGCGATCTCAGCTCACTGTAACCTCTGTCCCCCTGGTTCAAGCAACTAGGATTACGGGCCTGCACCACCTTGCCTGGCTAATTTTTGTATTTTCAATAGAGGTGGAGTTTCACCTTGTTGGTCAGCCTGGTCTCACACTCCTGACCTCAAGTGGTCTGCCTGCCTCTGCCTCCCAAAGTGCTGGAATTACAGGTGTGAGCACCATGCCTGGCCAGAATTTTTTCTTTAACCAAATATTTTCTTTTCTCTCTCTCTTTTTTTTTTTTTTTGAGATGGAGTTATTGCCAGACTGAAGTGCAATGGCACGATCTCGCTCACTGCAACCCCCGCCTCCAGGGTTCAAGCTCTTCTCCTGCCTCAGCCTCCTGAGTAGCTGGGATTACAAGCATGTGCTACCACGCCCAGCTAATTTTTTGTATTTTCAGTAGAGACAGGGTTTCTTCATGTTGGTCAGGCTGATCTTGAACTCCTCATCTCAGGTGATCTGCCTGCCTCGGCCTCCCAAAGTGCTGGGATTACAGATGTGAGCCACCACACTTGGCCGTAACCAAAATTTTTCATTTAATTATGTTCCTAAATGTCACAAACTAGAAAATATTTTTAAATGTTTTAAAAATCAGTTTTATTTTTATGTTTGTTTTTAGATTTTTTGATCATAACAACTTAATACAGATGATATAAGATAGAAAAGGAGGGTATCACTGGGTCCTATTCCCTGTAACAGTCTAGGGTATAATCTTCCAGATTTTTCCTCCATGAGGTTTTTTTTCTTTTTCTGATACAAGCTCAAGCTCTGTATCTCAGGCTGGAGTACACTGGTGTCATCATGGTTTACTGTAACCTTGATCTCCTGGACTCAAACAGTCCTCCCACCTCAGCCTCCAGAGTAGCTGGAACTGCAGGCAGGCACCACCACGCTTGGATAATTAAAAAAAAAAAATTTTTTTTTTTTTGGTAGGGACAAGGTCTTGCTATGTTGCCCAGGCTGGTCTCAGACTCCTGGGCTCAAGCGATCCTCCTGCCTCAGCCTCCCAAAGTGCTGGGATTACAGATGTGAGCCCTGGTACCCAGGCTCATGCAATTTTTTTCTTTCCCTCTTTCAATTTTTCTCTCCCTCTCTTTTTTTTTTTCCTTTCCTTGGGTTATACCTGAGAATTAAAATTCTGAAACTTTAATATTCCAGAATTGGTAGAAAAATCGATAGTTCACATGCAAATAAAATAAGACAGATACTTAAAATTGATTTTTTTATTTTTAAAAATTATTTATTTTATTTTAAAAATTGCGGTAGGCCAGGCATGGTGGCTCACACCTATAATCCCAGCACTTTGGGAGGCCAAGGTGGGTGGATCACGAGGTCAGCAGATTGAGACATCCTGGCTAACACAGTGAAACTCCTAAAAACACACACACACAAAATCAGCCAGCTGGGACCACCTGTGGTCCCAGCTACTGGGAAGGCTGAGGCAGGAGAATCGCTTGAATCCTGGAGGTGGAGGTTGCAGTGAGCCAAGATTGCGCCACTGCATTCCAGCCTGGGTGACAGAGCAAGGCTCCATCTCAAAAAAAAAAAAAAAATTGCGGTTAAAAAACACATAACATAAAATTAACTATCTTAACAATTTTCACATTATTGGATAACAGAGCTCCAAAATTTTGTCATTTTGCAGATCTGAGACTCTGTACCCATTAAACAGCAACTCCCCCTCCCCATTGTCCCTGCTCCTAGCAACCATCATTCTACTTTTTTTCTATGAGTTTGACTCCTTTAGATATTTAAAAGTAAAGGAATCATACAGTATTTGCCTTTTTGTGACAGGCTTATTTCACTTACATAATGTCCCTAAGATTTATCGATGTTAAAATTGTTTTATATATAAAGTAATAGATGCTTGCTGTATGGAAAAACACAAATTCTTGGGTGGCTGGGCACAGTGGCACTCACCTGTAATCTCAGCACTTTGGGAGATCAAGGCAGGAGTATTGCTAGAGCCCAGGAATTTGAGGCTGTGGTGAGCTATAATTGTGACATAGAACTCTAGCCTGGGCAACAAAGCGAGACCCTGACTCTTAAAAAAAAAGCCTGGGGTGGGGGTTGGGTGCAGTGGCTCACACCTGTAATCCCAACACTTTAGGATACCGAGGCAGGTGGAACACTCGAGGTCAGGAGTTCGAGACCAGCCTGGCCAATATGGTGAAACCCTGTCTCTACTCAAAATACAAAAATTAGCCAGACATGGTGGCGCATACCTGTAGTCCAAGCTACTTGGGGGGCTGAGGTAGGAGAATTGCTTGAGCTCGG